TCTTCTAGCCTGGTCTATATCTTTAATATAATTGTCTCTCACATCACGTTAAAGTCAAGTTAATAGTTATTTGTTTTTTTTTTAAAACTAAGTTAATAATTTATTTAATCAATACATCATTTCATTTTCATTAATAGTGTAAACAGTCGGTGACCGAATGAAAATATAATTAAGAATCAAAGTTCAAGAACTAATGCTCAAAATTTGGGCCCTTAAATTTATAATTGGTTCAAGTCCTATTTTGCTCCCCCAAGCCTTGTAGCTTTATTCTAATTTAGTCTTTAGGTTTCAAAAGAAATTACTATTTCAGTTTGTGTCATTATTATTATTTTTGGGAAAAGATAACCACGTACTTCATTGAAGAGGGTAGGTGAGAAATATACAACAAAAATTTGTGTCATTATTTTATCATTATTCGTTTAAGAAATGGTTGACAGGTGATTTCAAATATAAGTATTAATGTGTATTGATATGAGCTAGATGTATTAAAAGCTACCTAGGTAATTAAGTGAGAGATAAGTTGAATGGAGTGGATGCTGGATCACAAATGTAATTTCTCTTTACCATTACTTTGGTTTGATGGGAAATTACAAGGGAAGATGAAGCAATGGCAAGAGAAAAAGGGCTAAAGACTTTCTCACATGAGGGGAAAAATTGAAATGTAAGGGCTTGGTTGGGATCCTTAATATTTGCGATTTCAGTACATACTCACATCAACACACTAATTAAATATACCAATTTGAAGTCATGCATGTGCCAATGACCAAAATTTTAAAGCTAAGACTCATAATTATTTAAGGCTTGGTGATAAGCATTAATTTCATTTTTATTTTTTTATTTTTAAAGATTGAATTTCTTTTTACAATACCATGTAGGTGGGGTTTGAACACACAGACTTTTTGATTGGAATACGAGCTAGGCATAGGTTGACTTTAAAAATTGAGCTTAAAACATTAGTTTCACCCATTCAGCTGTTCCTTTGTTTTGTTTTGCAGTTTTTATAAATATTTTTAAAATCTAGCTAGGCCATATTTTGAAAATAAAACATGTAAATTTTATTTTTGAAATTTTGACTAATAATTCATACCAATAAAATTGTTTCTAAACAAGCACATTTCTTAAAAAACTAAAAATGGAATTGTTATCATTCCACACCTTAGTTTTAGTTTTTCCTTTTTTAAAATTATATTTACTTTCTTATAATTTCTTTATATATTTTTCACCTTTCTTTACCCCACATCTCAAATCTTAGCCAAATTAATATATATATATATATATTTAAAACTATCCTCTTCAATCGACACACTCGACATAGATAGGATTCGGTGGCCCCAGCTTCTGCCTCTATCAGGCGGCGGCAGCCCCACCTCCACAGCCACAACATGGAGGAGCAGCTTCTTAATCTACATTACAACCAATCCACATTTTCTCCAGATCGATATATGATGCTAAACCGAAACCGAGCTCGATCGAGAGGGCAGCCCCTTTGTTGGCTCTTCGAGACAAAAGCACTCATAGGAATGGTGCAAATTCCCATGTTCTTTCGAGTATCGTTTGGTTTCGAGAGCCTCCCCTCCCTGTCCCTTACTCGTCTTTTACAGTCGTTATCCTGGATTTTTTTTCCGTATGTCGGGGGAAGTGAGTTTGACAACATTTTTTCAAGTAATATATATTTATCAGCTTAATTTTTAAGGAAAAATGGATATTAATAATTTTATAATTGAACAAAATAGGAACAAAATTCAAACCCCTGCCCTTTGTCTCAAATTCATAGCAACATAGAAAAAACAACACAGGTTAAAACGCAACGCAACAAAGGAAAAAGATTGTGAAGTTTCCCTCCGGCCGTCCTCAACCCTTTTAAAACTTCAAAATATTTTCCCTCAGTCATACAATGACGTCTATATTATTCTCCATCTCTCTCAGATGTTGAATTTCGGAATTTTCCATAATTTTATCCTTCTATTAAATTACCTGCATAATTTCTCAGCTGATGGCGACCTTAACATTAATAATTAGCTTTGATTCTTGCCTCCCATATAATTCCTCTCAAGATCACAACCCTTCTTCAAATCATGTAGAACTTTTTGTCTCATACCAACCGCTGATCAAAATTATGTTTCGCACTCTTTGTTTCTTCTACTTCTTAGGGTTTCTCCTGCTGGACGGCTCATTTTCCGACAACGACGGCGAATTCGGATGTTCCGCCGCCGGAGTTCTCACCGTTGGAGTTATTGTTGACAATAACTCAAGGGTCGGTAGAGAACAGATTATAGCCATTCACATGGCTGCCAAAGATTTTCCCTTTTCTTCTTCATGTGGTAAGGTGAAGCTCCTCCTTGTGGATTCGCCGGAGAACTCTCCTCAGGCAACCGCTTCCGGTGAGATCCATCATCTTCTCTCCCTCCCGGCGGGCCAATAAGAAAATTGTTAAGACCCATTTGATAACGGGGTTTTTTTTTTTCTGTTTTAAACTCATGTAATTCTTTGTTTTTGTTTCACTTCCTTTAAACATTTTCAAAATATAAGCTAAATTTTGAAAACTATGTTTTTATTTTTGAAATTTAACTAAGAGTGTAATAATGTGTTTCTAGGAAAGATAAAAGCATATTAAAGTAATTATTAGTAAATTATCATAATTTTCAAAAACTGAAAATAAAAAATAGGCGGAAATAGCTTAATCGTTGTCCCCCATTCTGCTCTTGATTTCGTCGTTTAGTGAAACTAGTAGAGTTGCATAAGCCCCCTACAATATGGGCAATCGAACCGCAAACAGCTCCTTGTATAGGGATCCAAACTAATCAATTCAATAATAAGAAAAGAGCTTCCCATTTTATTTTAGAGCACAGTGTACTAATGAATAGAAAAAGCAGATTAAAATTCCACATGACGGATGAAGATCTTGAATAGAACACATGTACGGTGCTGTAACCTAAATTATCAGTGAACCAACAAGCGACTGTTGTTGAAACAAGAAGAGTAACATTCTAGCTAGAAGTTAGATACATCTGATTTTGAATTTGATTTCAAATTCACATATATGTGGTCGTCTTTCACAAAAAGTTCTTGATTCCTTTTCAACAGCATTGGATTTAATTACCAAGAAAGAAGTGAAAGCCATGTTTGGAACATTGACAAGGGATGATGTATCTTTAATCTTTGGGCTCAACAAAACCTCCATGAATGTTCCTATAATATCGTTATCTCTAGCTTCTCTAGTTCCACCATGGACGCCAAATCAAATGTCATCGTTTATTCAAATGGCCGATGATATCACCCACCAAATGCGATGCATTGCGGCCACAGTCGGCAGCTTCCAATGGCGGCGAATCACTGCAATCTACGAGGACAGAAACGACGGCTTCACGACCAATATGGCAATTTTAAAGCTCCTCTCCGATTCACTCCGAGATGTCAACTCAGAAATTGAAAACCACATTGGTTTCTCTTCACTGGAGCCAGAGCCACTAATTGAAGAGAAGCTCATGAATCTTACAAGTAACAGCAATAGGGTGTTCGTTTTAATGCAATCTTCCATGGAATTGGCCACCCTTCTTTTCAAAAAGGCAAAAAAGTTGAATATGATGGCAAATGGGTACGTATGGATTGTTGGGGATGAGATTTCAAACATTCTTGATTCTCTACATTCTTCAGCTTTCAATAACTTGCAAGGAGTTATTGGGTGTAAGATTTATTTTGAAGAAAAGGAGAACTCGTTCAAGGAATTCAGAACCAAATTTAGAAGGAATTATATGTCTGAATTCCCAGAAGATGAAGGACAGGGTGACCCCAGCATCTTTGCCCTTCGAGCTTACGATGCATATGGGGCCATTGCCTCTGCCATGGACGAGTTGCAAGGAAACCCAAGTGGAAAACAATGGCCAATGAAGATTTTGGAAAGTAAATTTGATGGTCTAAGTGCGTTTGTGAGCTTTAAGAATGGCATATTGTCACATCCACCCACCTTCCAAATCATTAATATTTTTGGAAAAAGTTACAAAGAGGTTGCTTTTTGGTCACCGGGGTTTGGATTTTCTGATATATTACCCCAACAAGCAAGCACCAACTCAACCACTGGAAATGCTACCATTGATCTATCGAGCCTGGTTTTCTGGCCAGGTTGGAACGAAAAAATTCTCTTTTTTTACATTTCTCTCGTCTTAACTTGACAAACAAGTAGATTTTCACCCGGCTGGACCTAAATATTTTTCTTTATGACAGGTAATGCAAAAACGGTGCCGAAGGGGTGGGATTTTAGCTTCGGAGAGAAACCGTTGAGGATCGGAATTCCGACCACAGCTGCTTTCCAAGAATTCGTACAAGTGAACTACAATCACACAGATGGGCCTCATATCTCCGGCTTCTCCATTAGTGTTTTCCAAGCAGTTGCTAGCAATTTACCTTACTTCTTGCCCTACGATTTTATCCCCTACAATGGCTCTTACGACAACTTGCTCCAAAAAGTCTACAACAAGGTAAAAAGGCCAAAATCCTACTAATTTAAACAATAGAAATAGAATGACATAAAAATACCAACTTTGGAGTTTGGAGGTGCAGGAGTTTGATGGGGCAGTGGGAGATTTTGGGATATTTGCAGACCGATTTAGGTACGTGGATTTCTCTGAGCCGTATTTGGATAATGCAGCGGTGATGATAGTGAAGGAGAAGCCGGTGAGTTGGACGCGATTATGGCTTTTCATGAGAGCTTTCACGGCGGAAATGTGGCTGATTATGCTCTCCATGCATGTGTTTGTGAGCTCTGCAATTTGGCTGATTGAGCGCAAACATAACCATGATTTAAAGGGAATTGGAAACATGCTATGGTTCTCTGTATCCGTCATCTTTATGTCCATAGTAAGTGAATTGCATTGATTTTTTTTTCCATTATCTATATTCAGTAAAGAGAGAACCAATATTTCTTTTTAGTTCTTAAAATCTTAATTTCAATAATTGAAGTTGAATAAAGATAGAAATTGTTCTGTAACTATTAAAGGTTACATTTGGTTAGTGATCTTAAAATATAAATCAATTTTCAGTATTTTGGAATATATGTTTGGTAGCAAATTTGAATAAAAAAAATTCTGACGCGTTTAATAATATATTCGTACACTATATGCGAGTTACCAACTAAAATTTAGTTCTATTAATTTATTAGCATAATATATTATAAATTTTGTAATTAGCATAATATATTATTTTATAGTATTATATAATTTATAATATATTATATTTTACCTGTTCTAATTTTAATAAAAAAAATGAAATGAGTTTACAACATGTATTTATCAAATTTTTATTTTTTTAATATAATTATTTATTTTAAGGTTTTAAATAAAAAATTAGAATTTTAAAATAATTTTTTAAAACAAACCTTCAAACACATATTCATTGAATCTATAAACAAGAAAAAATTGTTCTGATTGCCAACCAAATAGTTCTTAAGATATCTATAAATAATTAAATTTATTTTAATCCATTAGTTTAAACTTTTGGATTCATCAATAATTTAACATGTTTAATATAGTATTTGATTTAGAGATCGTGGTTTCTAACCCTTATATATATATTTTTAATTAACTTGTTGTCGAATCTAGACAAAAAGAATACTTAAAACATCTATGAATTAATTATGTTCAGGAGAACCAGTAAAGAATGGATTGGCTCGATTGGTGTTAGGACCATGGCTATTTGCAATCCTTATAGTAACAGCAAGTTCCACAGCGAGTCTGTCTTCGATGATGACGATCTCGAGATCGCAACCATCGTTTTTGGACATTGAAACGCTGAAGCTAAAGAATGCGACAGTGGGATGCATAATGGTGAGATTTTTATCCCAAGTGTTGTTGATTCCTGCAGAGAATATAAGACAGATAGCCCCCGTGGATTTGTTCCCAAATGCGTTGGAAAAGGGAGCGATTCAGGCGGCTTGCTTCTCTGGGCCCCATGCCAAAGTATTCCTCGCTAAACACTGCAAACACTACACCAAAGCCACCATTTTCAAGCTCGTCGGCATGGGTTTTGTAAGCTCTCTAAATTTTATTACAAGGCTTTTTTTCTTTAGTCTCAACTTAGTGATCTTTTATGTCTTTTTAACACTTCAGCGTGGTATATGCATGTGAGCTAATTTTACTAGTGAAAATTTTGTATAATTGAAAAATGTTAAAATTTTCATTTAAATGTTATTTTGGTTTAAGTAGTCTTGACTTTGATTTTGGTTCATATACTTTGATCAAAATTTTATTTTGATTGATGTACTTTCAACTTTGTTTAAATGGTGATCGTACGCATGCTTTAGGTATAGGAGCAAAAGGGTCAAAGAGTCGCCGACTCCTAGGTGCTCATACAAAAAATAAACAAAAGTGAATATGTTGAAAGTATATAAATCAAATTAGTACCTAAATCTAAAATTTTAATTTTATATTATATTAGGACTATCAATAATTAAGGAGTAGATATATTGAAAAATCAAGCTCTTAGATGAGTGTGAAGACAAGTATTTTCTTATATGGTTAAATATGTGTTTAGTTTAGTTCCTAATGTTTTGGCATTGTTTTCTCCATGAATTAATCCTTATTATTTAAAGTGTTTCAATTCCGTCTCACATGATTTAATGTTGTTCAGATATTTTACTATTTTTGTTGACAATGTTAAAATCCGATGAAAAAGCTTAGCATGATTTTTACTGAGTCAACAAAAATTCAAAGATAAATTAAGTTAATAAAGAAAAGTTTTCGATGCCTCCTACGAAATTTTATGAAGTGAAAATCAACTTTTACGTACTCTATCTTAAATATCTTCATTATCAATTGTTCCTCTAAATTTATGTTATCTCATATATGATGTAACTAAAAATATTACGACATAGAAGACTAAATTGAAACCTATTTTATTTTTGTAACAGGCTTTTCCGAAAGGGTCTCCTCTGACCGTCGACATATCGGCGTCGATCGCAGAGCTGATAGAAAGAAGAGAATTGCCGGACTTGGAGTCGACGTTGCTGTCTACCTTCAACTGCTCCTTAAACGACAATAATGTAGACGGGTCGGGTTTAGGACCCGAACCATTCGCCGGATTGTTTCTGATCGCCGGCGCTATTACTTTGGCGGCAGTTCTATTTACCGCCGGTCGGCTTACGCTGATGAAATTGGGCTGGATAAAAGACGAGCCCACTACAACCAAGCCCCAACTCCCCAAATAGAGTATTGCTATCTCTTTGTTATTTATTATTTGTGTGAGTAATTAATCTATATTTTTTTTCATGTCATATAGAGCATTTTTTTAAATCTATATGCTAAGAATATTTATGTATGTATTTTGTATATTGTGTCAAAAAAATTTTTGAATAAAACAACCTTTTTATTTTGTAAAAATATGACGAAGTTTGTTAATTTGTAGCAATTTAAAAGGAGTAGATTGGTTTCTATATATATATATATATATATATATATATATATATATATATATTTATTAGTGATTGAATCTATTTTATATTGTGAAAAAAGAGTTGAATATCTCGAAATTTGATGTGGGAGTGTCTGATTAATATTGAAAATCTGGGATCATTGTGTTTATTTGGCAAGTTAGTAATATGAGCATACAATATCCAAATATATGGATTTACTAGTTTGCTATGAGTTTTAGATGATAATGTGATATTAAATGTAGTGATGTTATTTTCTCTAAAACGCTCATTTGTTTTAAGGTTGGAGTATAAGGTTGATTTAATATTGAAAGTAATAAGAGTTAATAATTATTTTTTTATATAAAATATTTTTTTTAGTACAAAAACAAATATTGTCTGTTTGAAAAATGGAAAACTGAAAAACAAAGTATAATTAGATAGGTATGAAATATTGAGATTTTTATTAGCGACCCCTTTTATAGGTTTATAAAAATAAATATTAATTAAGTATTTACTGAAGAAATTTGTAATGGTACCAAAGCGAGCTGAGTGGCATATATCTTCAACTAAAAGGTTGTGAAATCGATCTCCAGAAAGATAAATTTGTAATGAATAGTTAAAATATTTGCAATATATAAAAAATTTACGAATTTTTTAAATATAGAAAAACATTTCAAATTTGATTTTCATATTTTAATTATTCTGATTTGACCCTTTAAATTTTCAGATATATCGAATCAAATATATTAATGTATCAAATCGGATATATATATTAAGTATATCATTAATATCAAATATATAATTAGTATATAAGGTATATTATTGTTATATTATCGATATCATGTATGTGATTAGTATATCAATGCTTATTATCAAGTATATCAGCGTTATTAATTTGTTTATTAATATAAGAAGTATATCAACGATATATTGACATCATATGAGGTATAAAAGATAGACATTTCATCTAAAATCTGTAAATAACACGATACAATTCAATAAAAGAAACTGAATACAGTAAGAAGAAATAATATATAAGGTATATGCATGGTACATGCACATACATAATTAGGTATATCAAATCAAATGTATCAATGATATATCAAATTAAGTATATATATCATTATTTAGACATCGTGTTTATTAAACAGTATATGAACATTGTTTTCTTATGTGTGCATTAGATCTCTAGATTTTACTATTTTTACGAAATTGAAAAGTGGTTACTAATAAAAATAAAATGAATTTATAGCCTGCAATATATATTTATCAAAGTATTTATTATTTTAAATGTAATTTTGTATTTTAATATTTCAAATTTTGAATCTACAAATGCTAAAAAAAAATGTTTTCGGAATTTTCAAAACTTCAATTGCATAATTTAAAAATATTAAATTTATCAAATAAATATTAATACATTTGATTGGGGGAATTTGATTCAGTGAATTAGAAAGAAATCTGATAGCATACCCTTCAAATTTAAATAAACGAGATACACGTGGCACGTTTTAAAGGGTTTCTTATATTTTTCCACAAACTTATATATAGTGGGGTTGGTAAGTACACTGTACGAAGAAATTACGAGAAAGTCTTTGTTGGGACCACGGAAATTTCATGATACCACCTGTCCACTTATCAAAACCCCTCATTTCCAGCCCAAGAAAACAGCTGACCCAATTTTTATAAAATTCTAAATTAAAAATATATATTTATATATCCTTCTCTTTCAATACATTCTTCCCCACCGCTCTCCACGTCGCGTGGGAGACACGAACCAGTCACATAAACAAGAAACAAACTCCAGACCGAGCGTGATTCATCACGCGCCGCCTTGGGCGCGTAGGCCTGGGATTTCGGCCACTCTGTATAGATCTCCGCCGACACAAATGGCTGTATCGGCTGCCCCCTTTTCTTTTCTTATTCCCAATACTTTCCTTTTTTTTTCTCTCTCTCTAGAAACTTTTGGTCTTTTTTCTCTCTCTAAAAGTAAGAAATGATTAAAATGCTGGAGAGATTCCAGTTATTTGTGAGGAAAACGATGGAGTAGATCCCACTCCATTCCCCAGAAAGCAAAATCCCACGAACCCTAAAAAATTCTTAATGTCATTGTGAAACCCCACACCCAAATCGTATATATGTATATAAGACAGCCTTGCAAACTATATATATATTGTGTGTGCCAGTTCATAGCTCATTTTTTACTCTCTCTGTCTACGCTCTGTCTTGCTTCCCCCCAGATCTTACGGTCTTGAAGTTCCCAATAAAGAAGGTTCTGCTTCTACAGATTCGTGGAATTTGGGCGCTCTGCGGATGGAAGTTTGAGGTTGATTTGGTTGAGAGCGGAGCGAAATGGACGGTGGTGATGGGACAGTCAGGCTCGGAGCTCTGAACTTGAAGCCGGATCGGAGCGGCCTTGATTCGGGTCCCGATGTGTCTGTTTCTTCTCCCGTAACTCGGCAGAAAGCCGCCGCTGCCAAGCAGTTCATAGAGAATCATTACAAGAACTATCTCCAAGGTCTTCAGGATCGTAAAGAGAGGTAGAGTATTTCCTTCTAGCGGTCGTTTGAGTGATCGTAATTCGTGGAAGGAAATATGTGTTTGAGTTTCGTGATTGTGCTGAATCCGCTGATTACCTAATTGGCGAGTTTAATTTTGAGGCGGAGCTATGGATTTTAAAGACCAGTGGAAACTGTGCGAAGAAATTGTGGCTAGCGTCGTTCGTTTTAGAACTCTGAAATTATTGTCAAAAGCTGCTGATCTTTATTTCTAAGCAGATTATTGTTCAACAGATTCAGCCGAATTTTCTGTTTTTTTTTTGTGTTTACAGACGGAGAACACTTCAACGAAGAGTGCAAGAAGCTCAGATGTCAACTGAGGAACAAGAGGAGATGCTTAGGAGCTTGGAACGCAGAGAAACAGAATTTATGAGACTGCAAAGACGTAAAGTTGGGATCGATGACTTTGAACAATTAACAGTTATCGGTAAAGGTGCATTTGGTGAGGTATAGGAAATTCTATTTGCAGCAACTAGAACTCTTTCCGTAGCTTTTAAGCTTCACTTTAAATTTTGCTTTCGTCGGTACAATTGCTTATTTGCTTGTTGATTAAGCTTAAAGACTCTGTTCTACTAACACTAAGACAGGAATAGGAATGCTTTTAGAATTCTCGGGGAATTCTTGATACTGCAACAAACACTATCATACCCATTCTAATTTAGTTATTTAAGTTACTTACACGCAGGTCAGATTATGTCGTGCAAAAGGAACAGGAGAAATTTTTGCCATGAAGAAGCTGAAGAAATCAGAGATGCTCAGCCGTGGGCAGGTGATTTTCTAATGTTATGTACTTTAAATGATTACTCTATGAAACATACAACTCTGCACAAGAATTGCCTTCATTACTACCTGCCAGTTCAATGACAGAATAATTGACATGCCCACCAAAATATTATATAGTTGGTCACGGTAATATAATGTATTTGTTGATGATTGCAAATGCGAGATCTTTTGATCAGATAGTTTACATAGTTACAGTCTTACAGATAAAGAACTACGACTATGAAGAATATGAAATAATTTAACTTGATATGATTCATAAGACACTAAAAATACCATTGCAGATACGTCAACTTGTTTGTATGATAACTGCTGGATAATATGAAGAATGAACTTGCTCATGATTTTGGAATATATTTCATAAATTATTGGGATCATAAAACTTCTAATGTTGTATTTTTTTTCCCTTTCTACATGTTCCAGGTTGAGCATGTTCGTTCTGAGAGGAATTTACTTGCAGAGGTTGATAGTCGGTGCATTGTAAAGCTCTTCTATTCTTTTCAAGATTCCGAATTCTTATACCTTATTATGGAGTATTTACCTGGTGGTGACATTATGACATTACTGATGAGAGAAGACATTCTGTCAGAGGATGTTGCTCGTTTTTACATAGCGGAGAGCATTTTAGCTATTCATTCAATCCATCAGCACAATTATATACATAGGTAACTTTCTCATATCTTACTTCCTTCTCTGTAGTTCTGAACACCTGTCTTCCAGGCCTGGTTTGAAAAAACTATACCACAATAATAATTTTATAAAATTGTAGCCATCTTTTTTTATACCGATACAATAATTTTTTCTGATTATCATATTCCTTCTCTGGAATTCAGACAATTTCATGCTTCTAAGTTCAAGTATACATTGCAGCTTACTCTTACTTTTAACAGTACTTCGCTTACAGGGATATAAAACCAGATAACCTGATACTGGATAAAAATGGCCATCTGAAGCTTTCAGATTTTGGCTTGTGCAAGCCTCTGGATGATAAGTATTCAAGTATACTTTTGAATGACGAAGATTTTACAGCCCAGCAGGCCAAAGGTGAAGTTCAAGGTCATACTGACTCTAATGGATCCCAGTGGATGATGCCAAAAGAACAGATTCAACAGTGGAAGCGTAATCGTCGTGCACTGGTATTGGATTTATCATCTGCTCTGAACTTTCCTTCTTTGCTCCAACATGATTGTTAGATTCATAATCATGTTATTTATGTCTGCAGGCTTTTTCTACTGTTGGGACCCTGGATTATATGGCACCTGAAGTATTGCTTAAGAAAGGATATGGAATGGAGTGTGATTGGTGGTCGTTAGGGGCCATTATGTATGAGATGCTGGCTGGCTATCCTCCTTTTTGTTCTGACGATCCAAGGATGACTTTTCGCAAGGTAAAATCTGTTTGGTATCGTTGGCTATTATGTTTCTGGTTTATGACGTATGGAGTTAATAATATGAGTTCTTTTCAGATAATAAATTGGAGAACTTGCCTGAAATTTCCCGAGGAACCAAAAATCTCAGAAGAAGCTAAGGACCTGATCAGCCACTTGCTATGTGATGTCGAAATGAGGTTGGGAACACGAGGAGTAGAAGAATTAAAGGTAAGCCTACCAAAAAAAAAAAACCTTTTAAATTATCTGTCAAAAGGATGGAGAATGACTGCTTTTATATGTTTATTACCGAGGACATATGAAAGAATCCAATGAGTTTCTCAAATTGAAACACTAAAAAGTTTTAATGGCAAACACAACTATACAAAGTAATTCTAAATGTTGCTGGAAGTGAAAATCTTATTTATTTTCATCTTTCATTTTTAGCATGTCATTTTCATCTAACTAATTGTACTGTCAGGCACATCCATGGTTCAAAGGCATCCAGTGGGATAAGCTGTATGAAATGGAAGCTGTGTATAAACCAACCGTCACTGGAGAACTAGACACTCAGAACTTTGAAAAGTTTCCTGAAGTGAGCACGACACTGAACCTTGCACCCAATTGATAGTTCGTCTGTCTAAAATTGCTTAGTATGATCAGATTCCTTTATGCTTCTGTTCATTTATATCTTTAGTATCTTTCCTAGGACCACGCTTAAGTTTACTCAAATGAATGCTCTACATTTTCCTGCTATAATTTACTCCGTCCCTACACTTCATATTTAGAACGTAATTTCTGCACCTGCCAATTTCTTTGGTATACCAAAGATGAAGAATTATTACTGAATCAACATATTTAGCTTGCCATACCATGGACTTGTCTCTCAGCCTTTGATAAAATACAAGTACACATGGCATGAGGAGATACATTACATTTTTCAGCGGATTGTCTGTCGTCCTTTGTCTTACTTTACAGATATTATGAAATTTATTCCTTGTATTACTTTTTCAACCTCCATTGAGGTGTAGAAATGGACTTTTGTACTCCTTCCCCTTGCCAGCTTCAATCTTTCTTAATCTTTTGCTGAGTTTACTGTACTAAAATTTTTCTCCTTCTCCCCCAAAATGTAGGTTCAAGACCCTCCATCAGAAATGCCAACTGTTGGACCTTGGAGGAAGGTAATGACCTACTCTTCCAGCAATGATGATAGTGAATGGTGCTTGTGACTATGTCTGTTTGCGAAGTGTAGTGTAATTGCTAACTCATCTGTTTTCAGTGGCTACTGGCTTGTGCAAAACTTTGAAACCCTTCATTTCTTATCCTTTTTCCGTGGATCTTTGAATTAAATGCTAAGATGAAATACAGCATTTACAACATACATATGGTCTGATTTAACAGCCGTATAAAAATTTGCTACACTTGGGAAAGATATTTCTACCGGGCATCAGTTTACCATTGATAAAATTTTGCTAGTGGGTGTAACATGAATGCTTCTAATTCCCTTTCCTATTATTCCTTTGAGCTGCTTGCTTTTGCTTGGATCGCTCATTTTATGCCATTTGCACCTCTCAAATTTCTTCTTTTTTTGTTTCAGATGCTGACTTCAAAAGATACCAATTTCATTGGGTTTACTTTTAAGAAGTCAAACGTCAAATCACTTGAGAGTACAGGTACATTGAACAATATAATGTCCTTTGCTTAAATCACTTCCTCTTCTCATATCTTGTTCTTTTAGCATGTTAGTTGAATAATTCATGATGCACATTGCACAATATTGGACAATATAATGTCCTTAAATCAATGTAAATCAATGTACCAATTTCATTGCACAATATACCAATTTCATTGGATTTACTTTGAAGAAGTCACACGTCAAATCACTTGAGAGTACAGGTACATTGAACAATATAATGTCCTTTTCTTGAATCACTTCCTCTTCTCATATCTTGTTCTTTTAGCATGTTAGTTGAACAATTCATGATACATTGGACAATATAATTTCCTTAAATCACTTTCTCTTGTTATATCTTGCTTTCTTAGCATGTTATTTGAACAATTAATGGTGCACAGTCTAGCGTGGCAATAAATATTAAAATGGTACTCTAATATATCACGAGACAAGAAAAATGGTCATTTAGAGGATCTTTAAGTTAGTTTGGTCTCCATATAACTATAGCACTGGAAATCTGAACTCAAGTGCTATCTGCTCACTGTTAAGGCAGTCTCTCAGAAACTATTTAGATAGATACCCTTCGGATTACACGTTTGGTTCTCTTTCAGCACTATAAGTTAGATGAGGGTGCTCAGACCTCGATAAGTATATATATAGAGCAAAAGTAGCGGCCTATTAACCTAAACTTCAATTCGCAGGTACGGATGTGCATTCGAATGCGTCATCGAAGACACCATCTTTGGTTTCCTTGTTGGGTATGACTTTCTCGTCCTCCTTCCCTTTTCCATGTGTTCATTCATGAAAAAACTACAAGCTGAGTAAACTTTGAGCGGTATTCTAGTTTCTACCATTGTTTAATATAACAAACTTTCCTGTTGTCTCAGGTCGAATAGACTTGCAAGAAACTGCGATACCTGAAATTGAGCAAAAGCAGGAATCATAAGCCTTTCTTCTTCTGATCACATCCCATTTCCTGTGAGTAAAATGTGCTGAATAGAAATTACACAAGATGATGTTTGCCCACAGTCTGGTATGAAAGGTGATATGGATATAAAGATTATCACTTTTAAAAGCTCGCAAAGATACTGCTTACCTTTTGAATATTACGATATCTCATTACAACTGTAAAGCATAATAAGCATTGAATTGAATATGATTAATTTTTCTTCTTGACCTCTTCATTCCCATTTTGTTTATTGAACCTTGTAATCATTCTGCCGAATTGATGCAATTTTGTCGGTTAAAGTGGATCCAATGCTTGTTCAAGTTATCATTCGAATCTGTTTGAGATTTATGCAAATCGATTGAAGATTATTCAACCCTTTGAATCCCACGATTTCATGACCAATCAAGGATTGTATATTGGGTACGTAAAATTATTATGCATATATTAGAAAAATAATATATTTATATTCTTCTTGTTGGAAGTCATGGACTGGGATCTCGTGATTGGGCCAGACTTATACCAGGTTCCTTAAGGTCCATTAACATGGTAAATTGAGGTATGGATAATTCAATTTTAAAAAAGCCTGACGTGGCATAGTTTAATTGCTACGTCATGCTTAAAAATGTATAATAATAATTATGAAGGCTTGAAGAGTGACTGATAATTTTAAAAAAAAAAAAATATTACAAATTAGTATATTTAAGACTCGCTTGTAATGTTCCCAAAATAGAATTGCATAATACCCCCACCTCTATATATTCAATAATGATAAAGATATTATTTGTATTTATATTTTAGAACAAATAAGAAATTGGAAAAAGAAATTAAAAAAAATATATTTTTATTGTTTTCAAAATTTCTACACAAAATGCTTCTAAAAATGGAGAAAAGAAAGACTCTCAAATGTTTAGATATCTTTTAAATTAGAAACGAGAAATAAGAAATAATAGCAAGGCTTATATAATTAATTAAATGTTTTTTTATTAACCACGAAAGTATATTTAGGAATAAATATATGAATGATAATTTTTCAGTACTGTTGGTGATAGAAAAGTCCAAAATTTAAAGCTTTTGTATTTTCTTCAAAGTTGCTCTTAGATATTTAGTTGGAAATCAAGGTGGATATTGTCCTGAGTGTACTTTGCTACAAACATTTTTCTCTAAATCAAGAAATAAATAAAGAGGAAAAAACAAGCCCGATGATAATGGATGCCAGAGGGGAAAACATGAAAATGACACACAAATTATAGGGAAAAGGATGACCAAATAAGTTTTCATCACAGAAATTTAATCATTTAATTTGGTGTACGAAAAAAGTAAATTTCCTTTTCACTTTGATTACTGAATTATTATTGATTCCTAATAATCCCATCTTTTTAATTTTTATGTTCTTTCACTCTTACCCACTTGAAGCGAGACAAATTTAAATACTACATAAACGTTATTGTTATTGTTGAATAAGAAATTGATACAGTGATGATTGAGATTTGAATTAAGGTAAAATTGCGTACCTTATCTAGGAAATATTTCTTATCATTTATATAAATATGGTAATAATGACTTCTTTAACCTTCAGAACTCACTATAGTAGATTTAGCTCTCAGTAATGCAACACTCTTTCAGTTGGTGAAGTTCAAAGAAATAATTTATGTTACTAGAGAACCTCAGACAAGAATGTAAGTTAGACTCATTAGTCAATGAGAGGCCATATGCATGCAAAGTGGCAAATAAAGGAAGAAGATGCTTATGCTATTTCAAGGATCGTTGAGTTCTTTTGACCCAAAAGATAGGGAAAAAAGTTAACTTGAGATAAAATTAGAATCACACTCAAAGAAAGAATATGTTCATTTGACCGAGATGAGAAATCAGCTTTCTTTTCTAAAAAATTCTAAAAAGAGAGGAAAAGAAAATGTAGAATCTCATCTTAATATCTTAGATGTTCGAACATTTTAAATACTTAGGTGAGTTTTGAAGATATCTTGGAAACCAATGTCTAACTTGAAGGATATTGGTAAAACAATCGTGAATAAATCTTACCAAACAAACGTGATTATCTTCGGTTTGCATAATGTGTGATCGGAATTTATTGGAGATTAAAACGCGACTACAAAAATAAAATAATTAATGCACTTTGGAGGATCCTCCAGTTGTAAATTTGACGGTATGCAAGATGGAGAGAGTGGAGCTTTTGTTTTTTGTTGGTTTTGCTTTTCAAAAATCTGAGTAGATTGGTTGAATAAGGGACTGAGTTGCTTTATGCCTCACTTCTTCCCCTTTAGAATATCCTTGTCCTTTATTGGAACCCCAAAATCTAATTATAATCTAAAGAAATAATACTGTTTTTGGGCCACTGATCCATCAATTGATGGCTTCCCCAATTCTTGGGGGCCCATCCATCACTCACCTTTTTCAAAACTAAATTTGAAATTTTGTTAGGTCATAGACCCTACTAGATACGTTACTTTTCTCTACCGGAACAATGATCCACCCAAACGGGAGGCGAATCTCTGTTTACGCTCCCTCCAGTTGGGGTGGGGAACGAGGAAGAAATAAATGTAGAAATAGAAACCACTCCCAAAACGAAGGAGACTAAACAGGAACAAGAGGGATCCACCGAAGAAGATACTTTTCCTCACCTCTCTCATTCTCTGCTTCTATTCTCACATTCTCATTTCTCACTACTCATACTCTAAATTCTTAAGAAATTTAAAAACTTTTCTTTTCAAATAGGATTTCTCATCAGAAATAATTCAAATGATAATTTGCTAGGGATAAAGAACTATTAATATGGAATTTCTTAGAAAAAAGGTCGCGATATCTATGAGTTCCTACACTGAATCCTTATCCGATCTCCGCTAAATTTTGTGGGGATGGAGAGAAATGTGGGGTAAGTAGAGATGAGGATGCTCACCCACCCGATGACACTCCTAATGAATAAGTTATTGAAAAAGGATATGCACATGGTTCATATACTTATTATTTTTTTGAACTCTTTTAGCGCTATATTATTACTTATTCGTATAGTTTCGAAATTTATTTTAACTATGATGCTGTGTTGTTTTATTCATGTATTTTTTGCTCAAGTGTCATGTGCTATGCACACTTAACTTCGTAATTTTATAAAAAGGAGTAGAATTAAAAGAAACCTAGCATTTGTTTAGGACACTTTTTAGTATGAATATGTGACAAAATTATTTTTAAAAGTTAACTTGAAAATAGTAAACAATGCACTCTAAAAATGGTTAAAATCTTAACTAAACCTAAAACTTTGCTAACATGAGCTCAATTTAGTAGTTAAGACATCTTATTCCCTTTTGAGAGGTCCAAAGTTGAATCACTTATCTCCACATTTACACAAATAATTCTAAAATTTTAAGTGCTAATATGATAGGTAAGGTATTACTTTATATATATATATATATATATATATATATATATATATATTCTTAATAAAGATTTTTGGTTTAAAAATAATAATTATAAAGATTTCCGGAGTAAATTTGAAAATTCTAGTAAAACAAAATATTTCTTTGATGTCTTTTTTATTACGTAGTAAACAAAATTAATCATATCACATTAATTAAGGATAATTAGCCTATAAAATATTAAACTGAGAGAGAATTGCATTATTATTATTTTTAATTAATTTTACTTTTGGACTTCAAACATTTGCAACAAATGGAATCATTGGCCCCAAGTTGTGGATGGTCAAGCAAAGTCGGGTAGAACTTTTGAGTTATAATGTCTTTGGAGGCTATTTTAAAAACTTATTTACAAAAACGTCTAAAATTTTCTAATTTTACACTTTTATATTTATATTTCCGTAGGTAGGATTTTATTTTAATTTCGATTTTATCCTTATTTATTGTGTTTACATTTATTATAGTATTTGTTTTTTTAAATATAAAAGATTTAATTTCATAAATTATTATCATAATTCTTTAATTGTTGTGGGTCCCATGCTAATTTTCAACCAAAATCCATTAATTGAATGATTGATTTTTCCTTAATTCACTCCCACATTTGTGTTCAATCTTCAAGGATAATTCAAAATCACACAAACATGTTTTGAAGTCTCAATAAACATATATCCGTATATTCAAAATCATAGTATAGATACATTCAAAATCACTATAGTATATGCGGGTTTATCTTAATCAAAATCTCATTTCGAATGGGAAAAACGGAGACAGACGATTTATTAAAAATATATATTAAATCTTGAAACATTTATTCAAGTTCAAGATTTAATTCATTAAATTAAAAGTTTTAGGTTAAAAATAAAATTGACCCTTCAAATTAAGCATTTTTTTCCGTACGAATTTAAATCCTCGTCTAAACAACTGATTGACAAAGAAATGCTGATTAGTCAGAACAAATTCAATATCTTATTCTTATAACCTTTGCATGTATGAGAGGAAATTTGTTTAATAAACCATCCATATACAATGATTTATGAAGAATCAGTCGAATGACAATTATACTGAGGTGTGGCTATTTACATAAGTTTTTTTCTTTTTCTTTTTTTGTCACCCGACTATTTATATAGAAAATAATTAACTCATTTTTATAAATAATAATTGACTGTACTTTTAGTTTTAGCTCTGAATTTTCTTATACATGCATTGTAAGCATTGCCGACATGAATTTGGACAAAAGAAAATGATGATGTTTTTATAAGGTACACTATTTTTCATGTCCTTCCTTTTCCATGTCTCCTTAAACATATCCCACTTTTTTTATTTTATTCTTTTGTCCTTAGTTTTATATATATGCCTCCTATAAACCTCAATATATAAGGTAATTAATATATATTCAAAAGCTTTTTCCAACTTTATTCATTAGCCAGATCGAATGGAGATAAAGGTCACTTCTAAGTTTTCATTATTGTTCTTTATAATTATTGTCCTTTTATAAGAATTCTCGTGTTCGAACAACTATTCATTTGTATAAAGATGAGAGATAGATATACCATGAAATTTATTGGGCAAAAGCATTTTTACATGCAAATTCTTTTTATTTTCTAGCTTAAAAATTGTGACTTATTTAGAATAACAAATCTGATTAAATTGATTTATGTTTTATTACTTTATACACTTGTAATATTTATTTAGACACTTGAATACATATATACTTTCTATATTTAGAATGCGTATGAAAGTATAAAAAATCAAATATTATTAATTAGTTGTAAAATGATAAAATATAATTGTGATTAGGATGGAGGGTAGAATTCAAATCAGTATATAAATAATTTTTGTCCCATCCTCATCCTTAAAATAAATTAAAATGGGAAATAATTATTCAATCTCTAACCCCAATTTTCTAATTTAAAATGAAGATTTCCACCCCATTGGGATAGATACTATATGAGAAAAAGTGACAACCTTTATGCACGCGTAATAGAATCAAGAATGTGATCTTTTTAGAGAAAAGATATATCAGACATAAAATATATATCATTTGCAAACCTTCAATATCATAATATAATAAAATGTATGTCAAATATACGAAATTGGAGGTGATATTAAAATTTTAATTTTATCAAATGGAATCCTAAATATTCGAATCAATACCTTATCAAAGCAAAATTACTAAAACAAAACTTTAAAATTTAACAGTAAAATTATCCAATTCGTCCGCAAGAAAAGTATAAACTAAACTTTTTATATATTTAAAGTCCTCTTCCAAAATCAAACAATAAAAAAATATATTTAAACCAAAATGGCTAAATCTACCGACAACGTTCAAATTATAGATGTAAAACTTTTCTAATAATTATTTTAAATTTCAAAAATATATTTAGTAAAAATTTTTATGATGGTAAATTAAAATTGAACCAGATTTCTTTTTTTCTTTTTTTTTTGGGATTAGCCAATAAGCTAACCAAGATTATAATGTTGTTGACAAATTTCTGAAATGGGAATTTTTTGGAATTTTGTTTTTTTAAAACGAAAAATATCAAAAGAGATAAATAATGGCCAATATATTTTTTTATTTTTTCTTTTTCTTACAAAGGGGCTAGAATTTTTTAGTAATTATTACAACCTGTCACATGAAGATATTAATCTTTTATATCAAAGCCGTACATATATTTGGTGAATAACTTATTCTAAAAAATAATTTCTAATAATATTATTGCCTGATTCCTAAAAAGGGAACCACCAAACACGTTACACTTTTCATAAGAAAATCGAACTACACAATGCAAATAGTCAAAATTAGGTTTTTTTTTTCCGTCCCTTAATAGTAATTCTTAAAATCCGGAAAACAATATTTTATTCTTAAGAAAAATTGAATGAGTTTCCTCAATATAGACAAAAATTTCAAGTAAATTACTATTAACAAATTATTTTACACTAGATCACTTATAAAGAAATAGATGATTTATCTTATTTTCTGTCTACATTAATATCATTTTTATGAGTTATTCATCTTCGTTGATATTCTTTTTTACCACAAATATAAAAGTGGAATATTAAATTGTTATTTCCCATTTAATTATAACCAGTTTGTTATTGATATTCTGTTTACTATATTTTAAAAAAAAAACTTTTGGCCAAAAAAATACATTTTGTTTTCATATTTTTGCGTAACAATTTAGTCCTTAAACTTTAGTTTATAACAATTTAGCTCATGTAATTTTAAATGAATAACAATTTAGTCCCTGAACTTTAGTATATAACAGTTAGTCACTATAGTTTAAAATTTGAAATAATCTTATCCCTACTGTAAAAAAATCTAGTCAAAATTAAATGTTGATTTTTATCATATAACGATTTTATTTATAATTTATGAATACATTTGGTCCCTCATCGGTTAATCGAACTACATATATAAGAAACTTAACAAAAAAATTTACGACTAAATTGATTACAAACTTTAAACTACATGAATTAAATTGTTACATAGTAAAAATCCATGAACTAAATTACTACTAATTTAAAAGTACATAAACTAAATCATTACAAACTAAAATTTATTAGCTAAATAGCGAGTAATAATATTGAGTGTTTTTTTAACCAAAATTTTTGAATAACTTATTTTCACATTGTTTTTTAAAAAATATACTAACCTAAAATAAAAATAAAAATAAAAAAATCAGTCAAATAGAATAATAGAGGTCAGTGATCTCCTGGCTCCGCGGAGTCCCACGTGTCCTCAAATGCCGGCCCCATGGACCCACAAGAATCAATTTCTTACAGGAGATTGATCTATTTTGAAATGTCGGAGATATCATGGGCCCCACTTTGGTGAGCTGGATGCCACTTTCACCAACCCCAAGGTCTCCCCTACGCCTCAAATTCCAGTTGCTCTTATTTTTCCTGTGATGGTTGTAGTTTTTTCTTTTTTTATATCCAACTTTTAGTACACCAATGATAAATTTGAGAATTTAAAAAACAGTTGAGAATTATCTAAAAAATTAAAACCATTTAATATGTTTAACCATATTTTTTTATTTAAACATTAAAAGTGTCTTTTATCTTAGAATGTTTACTGATTTTTTAGACAAATTATCCAAAGTTTTCACCTGTATCAACGTCTAATATCTATGTCATTGAAAAGTGAAAAAATTAAAGGCATTAATTCTTGAAACATGTGAATAAAGATTTTAATTAAAAGTAATAATAAATAAAGAACAAACAACTTTTTTTAAGAGATGGTCTCTTATAAAGATCACAACTTTATATGAAATGATATGTTATTTATTAAAAGATACAACTCTACCGAAAGAGATGTGACCATTTAAAAGGCCACAAATAGTGGGTGGTTCTTCGATAGTTTTGAACACCAAAAAAATCTTATCTCAAAAATTTTTCTTCTCTTCATTCAGTACAATTGCTCAAACACTAGCATTCGTTGAGTCATGTGGTTCAAAGTGCTAATAATCTATCCTATTTTGGACGTAATTGTACCGAAAGAAATAAAGTAATGTTGGGTTTGAAATAATTCATAATTTCTCTTTATTTTGCTCTAACATTAATTATATCTACATAAATTAATATTTTAAAAATGAAAAAGACATCTCATGCACCATAAATTAGAGTATCAAATTGAACTAGGAATCAACATAGAATTATATACTAAAAGTCTTTAAGACATTTTTCAAAACAATAGAGAAGGACAGAACCGTCTTATTGATAACCTACCCTAACTACCTTGAGAATAATGTCCCCTCTTTCCTTCAAATTTACGAGGAAACTTTCTCATTAATGTTTTTGTTTTTGCCATCACATTGACTATATCTCCATAAGTTTTGATTTTGAAAACTACAAGTCGTACAAATAAACAAATTAGCACTTTTCCAAGAAAATTATTTTCTCATAACTCATAAGCCTACAATATAGCACGAGTTGAAAATTAAATATTGTGAGTTTTAAGAATTATTAAGAAAGAAAAAAATGATACCTAGCTAATGAATGAATAAATTATTAATGTTGGAGAGATAATGGAAAATGTGTGTTTTATTTTGTACAAGAAAATATATATTTTGTATTACACTCTATGTCTTTAGAGTTTTTAGTGACTTAAAATGAAATAACTTAAAGTGGAAAAAAAAATTGTGAAAGGTAAATTTTGACTGTATTTGTTACATCTAAGTGGAATGAAAAAATTTTAAGACTAAGCAAATATGAAACAATATATAGTTTAAAAAAAAAAAAAAACTTTGAAATTTGCTAATTATTACTTTTCTTTTTGGAGAATGATAATTATTACTTATATCAACCTAATATATAACTTCATCCATTTGAATATAATTTAGTGGATGAATCTTCAAATTATCTTTTTAAGATTAAAGGTTCAATTCCCCTACCATATTTTTTTGTACTAACAAAAAAAAAAAGATACACTTTCTTTTTTTTGGTGGCCTAATTATTGAAAACTACCTCTCTTTTTTAAGTATGCTTAGGTCAGAAAAAATAAAACTCATTCATCTGCAATCTAAATCCAGAAAAGAAAAAAAAAACCAAAAATCCGAAAAGAGTGAAAACGTGGCATGTTGAATATTCCTCTGACCTTTTAGATAAGATATAAAATAACTGAGAAAAAAATATTTGGTTGGATGAAGATCAAATCTTGTAAAAATTTGATTTTTTTTTTTATAAAAAAGTCTCTATTTTACATTTTTCTTCCTTATTTATCGAACCTTAACCTTTAATGGTGGTGAGGATAATATTGATTCTACGGAGCCAAATGATTTCTTAAAAATAATATTTATTATCCAAAAAGTAGGTGTCTTACCTTCATTGGCGGAATCAAAGCAAAGCCACTACAAGTTGGTATCAAACTCCCAACTTTCTCAACAGAGAAAATTAACTACTTAATATTCCTACGGTAAAAGTATATAATTTTACACTTAAATTATATCAATCTACATTTCTAAGTATCTTAATTAACAATTAAAAAGTCAAAACAAAACCAAGAAGATATTTTTATGTGCTTTTTGAGGGGGAGGATGAAAATTGAAGGCAATGAAGGCTGAAAATAAAGAACATGTGGATTTCAAATTGCTGGATGTGTATGAATATTAGCTCTCTTCTCTCTGGCCATGCATACTTGGCACCAAATCTTTGGATGACATTTGTTGGTTGTCGTTTCCATTTCTGCCCTCTATATAAACCCAATATCCTTATTTCTTCTAACTAAAAACCTTCTCTAGCTAGAGAATAATACATAGACTAGAGATCAGAAAGATGGGTGAAATTTTTGTACTCTTCTCCATCTTTCTTCCTACTCTTCTTCTTCTATTACTATTACCTCTAATTTTCTTCAAAAAGGAGAACAACAAAGGCAAGAAGCTGCCTCCTGGTTCCATGGGGTGGCCTCTAATCGGCGAGACCTTCCATCTCTACTCTCGAGATCCGACCATCTTCTTCCTCGACAAACAAAAAAGGTCACTAGTAATACCGCTTTCGGGCGGCAATTTTATACCGTTGGATGTACGAGAGAAAAATATAATTTTTTTTTCTTCTTGGGGATTGTGCAGATATGGGGAAATATTCAAGACCCACATTCATGGATGTCCGTGTGTGATGCTAGCCACGCCAGAGGCGGCTCGGTTCGTGCTGGTGACACAAGCTCACCTCTTCAAGCCCACTTACCCACACGGCAAGGAGCGTCTGATTGGGCCATCGGCTCTGTTTTTCCACCAGAGCGACGCCCATTTGCGCCTCCGGAAGCTGGTTCAGAGCTCCCTCTCACCGGACCCAGTCCGAGCCTTGGTCCCCTATATCGACGCCCTCGCCTCCTCCGCATTGGCCTTCTGGCTCCATGGCCACACCGTCAACACCTTTGAAGAAATGAAAAAGGTGAATCCGTAATCCATCCACTTAAACTTTTGAATTCATTCACATTCAAATTCAAATAATAATTATTGCAACGTGGTTTCTTTCATATTTCATGTGTCACATAATAGTCTAAATTTGAAGTCCACATGATGGTAACCAATTAGTAATCAAATTCCGTTCACACTTGGGAGTTGGGCCAGACATGGTCTGTAACACAAAGACAAAAACAGAGCTGTCAAAAAGTTTTGTGTTCTTAATTTAATCAAATGGGGACCAATTATTCCTTATCAATTTTTAGCATATATCTCTCTCTACCTCGCTGACTTCACACCTCTTGCTGTCGCTGTCTTTGTTGTTGTTCTTCACTCTCCCAAGTTCTCTTTTGAAGTCGGAATTTTGGCGATTTTCGGACATTTGGAGGATGATAATTACAGAGATGAGCTAATGAAGAACTACTCCATGGTTAACAGAGGCTACAATTCTTTCCTCACCAACATTCCCGGAACTATTTACAAAAAAGCACTTAAAGTAAGTAAAAAATGAAAAGACAACATATTCGGATTCGGATTGGGATTCTAAAAAGTTTGATTCTTTTTTAGTTTCAAGTCAAAATTTTCTTTTGGTAAAGGCAAGGAAGAGGCTGGGAGAGATCATAAGCTGTATTATCTCTGAGAAAAGGCAGAATACGACGAAGAAATTGGCGGAGAAGAATCTGCTGGGTTGTTTGCTGAAATGGAGAGATGAAAAAGGAGAAACTTTAAGTGATGAACAGATCGCCGACAACTTAATCGGAGTTCTCTTCGCCGCTCAGGACACGACGGCGAGTGTTCTCACATGGGTTCTTAAATATCTCCATGATAACCGCAAAGTTCTACAAGCTGTGAAGGTCAGTGATGTATCATTGTTCTATTACACATTTTTTTTGAATGCTTGTTAAACATTAATTGAAATGTTTTTTAAATTAGTACCAGGAAGGAACCGAACTCATGATATTTTGATAAGACGTATGTATCAATTACCATTTAATTAAGCTCATGTTTACGAACATTAACTGAAATTTTAAACACCTGTAGAAAAAAGAGTTTCCATGGTTTTGTGTGTGACATTAATTGTTTGGGGGTGCAGGCAGAGCAGAAGGCGATAGAAGAAGCCATTAATGGAGGGAGCCGACCAATGAGCTGGTCTCACACACGAAACATGCCATTTACCAACAAGGTAGGCTGGAGAAATTAATGAACTGCTTGGTGAGAATTGGATAAGAAAAGTCAAATTGGGGCTTTATTTATTATTGGATTGATAAAAAGTTATTTTATAATTCATTATTCTTTCAAGTAAAAGAATATCTGCCTGTTTATTTTTCTACCTCTCAAAACTTGAATGGTGGTCACTAAAAAAGAGTCCAAACCTAAAAATTATTGTACTTGTGGTTTACATTTCCATTTTGAATGCAAAATAGGTGGTGTTAGAGAGCTTGAGAATGGCGAGTATAATAACATTCACTTTCAGAGAAGCTGTGGCAGATGTTGAATACAATGGTAAGATGGTAAAATCCAACCTCAAAATTAAGACTAAATGTGAAAACTTCACACGTTATGAATTTGTAGGTTTGTTTTAAGGAGTGCTTTTAACAAAAGTATCAACACTTATAATTAATAGGTTAGTTTAATCATTCATTTTTAAAGTTGTGTCAGATTTATAAAAGGTTAATTAAAGGTTTTTTTTAAGAGCCTTAGAATAATATTCAACAAATTTTCTTTTTTAACTTACAAAATACTAGTCAAAAGCATTTTTATGTTACTCAATACCAGCTCTTACTTTCTTAAACAAAATAAAAAATAAAATAAAACAAAGAAGAATAACAAACCCTTACTTTCTTAAAAATAAAATAAATGAAAAGAATAAGGAGCTCTTACTTTCTTAGGTGTGGTTTATTTATAATTATTAGAATTTACCTTCTTAGATTTTTTGACCGATATAATATCAATAATTTGGTAAGAGTACTCCACATCCTAAAACCACTCTCAAACATAGCCTAAAAGGTAATATTTGCATGCAAATTAAAATACGGAGATATTATTTTTTAAACATTAAAAATTTCCAGTGAAAAATGTTCAATTTAAAAAAATGTAAGATTTGTAATTTATTTATTTAAAGCAGTGTGGAAGCACTTGTGCAAGATGTCTTTACTGGGAAGAACAAACTATGCAATTCAACCCCCAAATTTGATTAAAAATGAGTGATTCCTTACTTTTAATTACCTTTTGTGGGCAGGATATTTAATTCCAAAGGGTTGGAAAGTAATGCCTTTATTCAGTAATATTCATCACAATTCTGAATACTTTGTTGACCCTCACAAATTTGATCCTTCAAGATTTGAGGTATATTTGAATCACCCAATTCTTTCTTTTCTTTTTTGTTTTATCATACCAGAAAGAAAAATTCTTTTCTTTTTCAAAGTTTGCCTTTAATGTAGCAACAATAAACATTCAGCTATGTCTTATAGTGAAGGTAACCACTAATTTTTCTTCATTTCCAATTTATCAAGATCTAGTTTTAGGGCTTAATCTTATTTAAAAAGTTAATCATGAAGTTTCCATCCCTACATAATATCTAGCTCAAAGTGAAACAAAAACAGAAACTAATAAATTACAATCAACTTGGTACATAGTAATTAAAGATACGAATAAGCGTGTATATATATATATATATATATATTAGAATATTATGTTAGGGAGTTAGATGTAGTTTCGAATAAGTTGTAATATTATTATTATTATTTTAAGTTTAAAAACAAAATCATGCGATCACTTAACAGAATTCAACTAGTTAAGATATATATTATCAACCAAAATATCGGATATTTGAATCATTGCCTATGAACTCAAATTGAAAAAAAAAAAAAGTCATTCGAGCTTAGGAAAGATATTATTTTATACCTTCTCTACAAACTTTGTTTCTTGGAATATATGTTAAATAATTTCTTAACTAAAGAAGGGCATCCTCTCAGGTTGCTCCAAGACCCAATACGTTCATGCCATTTGGCAGTGGGGTCCATGCCTGCCCTGGAAATGAGCTTGCCAAGCTTGAAATCTTGATCATGATCCACCACCTAGTCACCAAATTCAGGTTTTTTTTTTTTTGAGGCAAGAATTTGATTTCGAGGAAAAAATAACAGAAGGGTATAGTTCTAAAGAGTGTACTGTTTGCATCTGCAGATGGGAATTTGCAGGGCGGGGAGATGGGATTCATCATGGGCCATTTCCAGTTCCATTGGATGGGCTTCCAATCAGAGTCTGGAGATTATCCAACTGAGAATGGGCCTCATTTCACTATAGCCCAAAATGGGTTCTCTCTATGAAAATGGGCCTCATTTCAGTACCCAAAGTGGGTCTCTCACTGAAATGAGCTCTCTCTCTCTCTCTCTTTTTTTTGGGGTCCCTTTTTCTCTTATCTTTTTCTGCAATTTGAGCTAGCGATCCATCCACCCCCAAAGCAAATGTGGTGGTTGGTTTCATAATCTTTATAATTTATGAAGAAAAAAAGGGAAAAAATAGCCTTTTCTACCTTACAATCCCATGTAATTTTCTACAAAGCTCTTCAACAAAAAGTAAAACAGAGCATAGTTTCTCCGAAAGGAGATTTTTTATTCAATAACATAATAAAGTTCTCCAATGTGTTATGATATACCTTTATGGTTTTGTTGGTCAAATTATTGTTGGATGTTTACTCTAACAAGTTATCGTTTATCTTTATTTGTTTATTTTAGTTTTATCGTGAGTTTATTCTAATGAGAAATGCAAACATAATTCTACCTTTTTCTTTTTTTTTTAATAGAAATTGAGAAAGACCAAAATACATTAGTTAGAACAAGATCTTCCTCAATAGTCCGTACACAAAACTTTCCAAGCTTAAACCCAAAATAAATGAAAAACCATACCATTATATAATATGAAGAGATCCTTTATCCATAGTTAGCTTATTTTTCTATTGATAGAGGTGAGTTGAATATTATTTTTCTTCATCTTCTTTAATTTATTGAAATATATAATGTTCTTCCTAAAAATCTAATAAAATTTTGTTTTTTAATTCAAGTATTGCCACTTGAATTTTTGAATATTCTAGAGTGAAATGAATATTTAACTTTCAAAATTCACCGACTCATATAAAATAATGTCAACATGAGCTTAGCTCAACATTATATGAGATTATGAGTTTGAATCTCTATACCCCACTTGTTATATTTAAAAAAAAATATATCGTATAAAATAATGTTTATTAGATATTACCTTAGCATTACCATGTCATTATTCAATCTCGTCGGTCCAAAACAAAAAGGGGAAAGCTGAAAATTAAACTTTGAAGTATTGAAGCTGAAGAAGTAATTGCAAAAATGAAAAAATTATAAATTTCAAATGACGTATAACTACCCACTGATCCAAATATGAAAGATGATGAAATCTTGAGCTAAAGCCAACTGAACCCACCAGGACACGCGTCCACAAAACTCACCCCATCAGATAAAACCCCCCAAAGAAAAAGAAAAAAGGACGGAAATAATGAAATATAGAGAGCAAAGAAAGTGGATAATAGCCACCAATCACTTTGCCATTTTTTTTGGAGGAGATGGCGGTTTCTTCACTCTCAGCGGCCACACCCTTGGCTGTGCAGGTGCGGCCCTGTTCTAGTTCTTGGTCTCCCTCCGCCATTTCCAACACCTTCTTTTCTCCATCATTCACCCCAAGAGAAAGACCACACTCCCACTCCCACTCCCACTCCCGACGGACAATCGTGGCCCGAGCCCAAGCTCAGCCGCGCCGGACTTGGCTCCCCGGCCTCGACCCCCCACCGCACCTCGACGGAAGGTCAGCCTTAGCCCCTCAAATTCAACTAATTCTAACTCTTCTTTCTCCCCTCGTAATGCTCTTTCTGCAGTCTGGCCGGCGATTTCGGATTCGACCCACTTGGGCTCGCCGAGGACCCCGAAAGCTTGAAGTGGTACGTCCAAGCGGAGCTCCTCCATTCTCGATTCGCCATGCTCGGAATCTCCGGAATTCTCCTCACAGACGTCTGTATACCCTACACACATTACCCAATTCTTACCCCCACAACACACAATAATAATCATCCTCTTCTTCTTCTTCTTTGTGCCAGCTGCTTCGTGTTACAGGAGTCAGCAAAGTACCAGTTTGGTACACTGCGGGTGCGGCGGAATACGGGTTCGCCAATAAAGAAACCCTCTTCATCGTTCAGCTGCTGTTGATGGGGTCCCAAATTCTGTCTCTCCCGTCATTTCTTTCTGCTTTGTCTGTTCCTGTTCCTGTTCCTGTATGTGGCAGTGATCGTTTTTTCCTTTTCTTTATAGGTTTGTAGAAACCAAAAGATACATGGATTTCAAAAGCCCTGGATCTCAAGCACAAGAAGGAACTTTCTTTGGGTTGGAAGCCGCTCTCGAAGGTCTCGAGCCCGGGTAATGTACAACATTTCAACTTATCTGGAAACTCGTATGATTTCATTTCAATATCTTAACTCAACCAGTAGTTTATCTAAGCAAATGAAAAGGGAGTATTTGTTATTTTATTTCCCCTTTGATTTGAACCTTATGGATTGAACATCCTTGAGCTTTAATTGACTTACAGATACCCTGGGGGTCCTCTGCTGAATCCACTAGGCCTGGCTAAAGATATCAAGAATGCCCATGACTGGAAGCTCAAGGAGATTAAGAATGGTTCAGTTTTCCACTCACATTGTTGAATTTTCATTTTCTTCTTCGTTTTGGACTAATCCTTATTCCTTCGTACAGGACGGTTAGCGATGGTAGCCATGGTTGGGATCTTCGTGCAGGCTTATGTAACTCACGCAGGGCCAATAGATAACCTTGTGGAGCACCTTTCTAATCCATGGCACAAGACTATTATCCAGACACTCTCAAGCTCAAGTCCTTGAAGAAGAAGAAGATAAGGAACTCAAGTCTTCTAATAATTTATCAAATTACGGCGATAAAATCACTGATTCTTTTACACAGAAAAAATACTTATCAAGAATATGGTTCCCAAGAACTCACATCATATGAAGGGCCAGAGCAAGTTTGTATCATATTTTTGGTTTTCTTTACTACTATTCTATGAAAGGTGGAAGTATGCAAGAATAATGACAAAATCAAATTTGAAGTGCAGAAGACGAATATTTGCTTATGGCTGCAAGAATCCTCTCTTTATCTCTGGTAGGAAATGCTTCTAATAAGACCCCATCTTTATAGAAATGGAACAGTGGCACTGTCTGCAACCATCAATTTTCAAGTCTAATTAACAAAAAATGCAAAAGCAAAACACAAACTCATTATTGTTCCCTATCATATGATTTTGTCCATATAGAATTTGAAATAAAGTACATAACTGCATGTTATTAGTATCTTTTATATTATAGAGTTGGGTAGTAACTTTTTATATTCAAACAACCATTGGCCTAGAGTTTTGTTGAAGATATAAAATAATAAAACATAAACAGAAACAACAATTTTTAACTGTTAAATGCTATCTGAAGTAGTTACTATTCATATACTAGTTCTCGAACGATGCAACAAAGAAGCTTTTAAAGAAAAGAGTAAGTTTCTTTCTCAACTTTTTTCAAAAACTTTCTAAATCAAGAGAAGGAACAAAACGGCTCATATAAGAGTTTCCCAAGAAACCAAAACCAGTCTATAAATCAAAACTTTTCTTCAATTCAAAACTACCCAACATTGAGATGGTTAATAAGATGGAAAAATTAAGAAGGGAAAAGAAATTTACCCTGATCCTTAGTCGTTCAGCAACCTCAGATTGTTCATCATATTCATCGATGACCTGAAACCAAATACATTCAAGCTTAAGCATTCAGTGGCGAAATGTGGCAGAGAGAGTTCGTTTTCCATTCCCATATTTATTTTCCCAAGAAAAAGTTTAGTTGATATACTCACATTATGCTTCAAGAAGATAACCGGAGTCTCTTCATCGCCAGAGCCCTTGCACAATTTTGCAAACCCTTGTTCTATATACTTGCAGCTCCCACAAGATGTTCGATAAAAATCCACCACGACTAAGGCACCAGTTTCCTTCGCCCTGTCTAGAATTTTAAGGAAATCTTCGTCCGTCTTGAATTCTCTCACACAATCCACTGGGCAAAGGTCATCATCTTCATCAGACAACCCCCCCTGACTTCCAGCAGCAACTCTAATTCTACTCTCGAACAAGAATTGATGTCTGATATTTAGAGATGATGGGAGTTGGGGTCTTGAAATGGACAATCGAACATGTCCTTTCTCGAACGACCTACTGGGAATCGAAATGGGGATTCTCGATTCGAGTTCTTCATTTGGGTTCAATCCAGAACTGAATAAAGCACTGCAGTACATTCTGCCTTTTGCATTACAACATATATGTAAGCCAAACTCTGATTTGGGTCTTTTCTTACGCAAGTTTTTTCCTAAATTATTGGTGAAAGAACGCTGAGAAAGAATCGAGTGGACGAACTTCAATCAGAAAGCTAACAAAATTGCCCAATGTATCAGATATAGTATAGCATTCAATTCAGTACATCAATTCAAACAACTAATCTGATTTAACGTAATTCCTGATAACGAAAGAGGGAATTTTGATATCGATTCGGAAAGCATGAAAAATAACTGGGGAAGGAAAGAGAACGAAAGGTGTTAAAAAAATTATGGGAGAAGGCAACAAATGAAGGACCAGTGGGTTACCTCTGAGCGGGAAGGAGAGCGTAGGAGCAGCTGCGAACGAGAAAATGACACGACTCCCACCATTATCTTCTTCCTTTGTTTGCCATGATTTTCTTTCACGTGGGAAGTTGGAGTTTTATGGACAAGGCTTGAAAAAATCTGAAGCTGGAGGCAGCCCAAATTTGGAAGCCCAATATTCAATGAGTTTGGCAAAATCATCAAATTTAATGAATAACAATAATTCAAGAAAATCATTGTTCACTTAAATGATATTCAAAGTACAAGAAAATTTGATGGAAAAAGGCTGTCGTTCATAGCCACTAGCTTGTGTTGATTGTCACAGTCTTGATCTTGGGGAGGAAAACTTGGCACTGTGAGAAAAAATGATAGCAATAGACAAGAACACGATCCACCAATACTATAGAATATGGAAACTTTTTACATTAATGTGGGAAGATTTGGGTAAGTGGTTTGATAAAGAGATTAAGATCATATTAATGTATTAAAAACAGAGAGTCTTGGCACGAGACTAACAAGAAGTTATGTTGCTTTATGTCGACTTGACTTTTGTTTGCTCAACAATGTAAGCATTTTTGGGAAGAATGACTTCTTCTTTTTCTTTCCGTCCTTGGATTCGGACAATGATTCCGCTCTACCAAGACCTTGTTTCGTCGGTTCCTTTGCGTTCGGAGCAGGAGGATCTACTTGGTCACCAGTTGTTGATTCTTTTGACAATGATTCGGCTCTACCAAGACTTTTATTCGTCTGTTCCTTTGCGTTTGGCACTTCTGGAGCAGGAGGATCTGCTTGATCACCAGTTGTTGATTCTTTTGTCTCAAAACTTCCTCTTGGGCTGCTGCTTGTGGGACTTGGTACTACTTGGTTAGGTTTATTGTCATTCCTTTGTTGCTCTTCTTCTTCCTTCCGCATCATCAACTCTTGTTCTTCCTTACACATCCTCAACTCTTGTTCTACTGCCAACTTTCCTTCCTCGGCCTGACCGGCCTTTTCCGTTGCATCTTTCAATGCTTGCTGTCTATCAACTAGTTCACGACTGACTTCTTCCAGCATTTCTTGACTTTTTGCCTCGGATTCCTTCACAGCCTCAATTTGAGAAATTGCTTGCGTCACCCTGATGCTTGCCTGCTCCTCAGCCTCACGGGCACGTTCGCTGAGTTCATTGTATTCCTCTAGTGAAATAGTTACTGTGGTTGGTGAATCTTCTTCGGCGATTTCAGAGGAATTACTCTTTTGTAGTGCTTTGATTGCTTCCAATGCCAACATTGTTGAAGCATTGGAAGCCTCAACCTCCTTCTTTGCTGCAAGTAATCTACTTTCCATAGCGCTTGATTCTGCCTTTGCTTTCTCTGCTTCTATCTTTGCCTTCTGCAGCTCTTCACGAGCCATCTGAGCGAGTGACTTGGCCTCGTCAGCCTCCTGTGCTGCCTGCTTCAATTGATTAGTCAGGTCCAGGCTATTTACGATTCCCTGGACATCAACGAATTCAGACATTGTCTTATCTAATTCAGCTTCAAGTGATGCAGCTTTCTCCGAAGGCCTGCCTTCTCTCTGCTTAGTGGTGGCCATAGTAGATTTCTCCCCTTCAAGCTCTGATTTTAGTGAAGTAGCAGCCGTCTTCAAGCATTTTACTTCTGCAATTGCTTTCTCTATGTTGAGCTTCACTTCTTCCAATTCCCTCTTTGTTGAATCAACCGCTGACTGTACAGTTGCATCTGTTCTATTCTCAGTTTCTGCAAATTCACCTTTCAAGAGCTGTTCATCACCTATCTCCTCCTTAAGAACTGATTCCATATAAGCCATCATTTCAGCTTTCAAATCTGATAGCAAGGTTGAGGCAGTGTTCACTTTCGATTTGAGATCTTCAATCGACAGAATTTGCAAATTTAGTCTGCAAAACTCGGCTTCTGCATCATCTAGCTCTTTCTTCCATTTGAAACAATCTTGCTCTTTGGCCAAGGCTGCACCCATCCTTTGCTCTTCGGCTTCTAAATGGGCAGCTCGTGCAGACTCCAATGATTTCTTTAAAGCTACCAGCTCCATAGTCAGCTCCTTTAGTGCCTGCTCACCTTCCTTAGATGCAGCAAGAGCATCATCAGCATTTTTCACAGCGGAATCTCTCTCACTCTCTAACGAAGAGAATTCATCACGCAGTACTTCCATTTCTTCTTTAATGGATTTCAGTTCCGAAACTGCAGCAGCATGTCCGGCCATGGCCATCTCAAGCTGTGCCTTGGCTAGGGCATCATCATTCTCCTCGGTAGTTTCTTGCTCCATCTCCTCAAGTCTAAGCTTGGCAAGTTCTGAATCCTGTTTTGCCTGCTGCTCTTCCGTTTGTGCAATCTCTAGTGCAAGCTTTAATTCCTCTATGCGTCGTTTAGTGCTTTCAAGCTCATTCAACACTTGGAATTCTGATTCCACAGCTGCCTCTGACTTCTTCCTACAATGAAGAATCTCCTCCTGCACTTCGTCAAGTTTATCCTCTCCTGGATTAATTCTCTGCAGAAGGAGAAAACAGAAAAGATTCCAATTGCTTAGAAATATTGAAAGATCCTTATGGTAAGGAACAAGGCTAAATTAATTTCTATTGATACTCAATCCACAACCGATAAGAACAAATTTGATTGTGTTTCTTCATACACGTTGAACAAATCTATTAATTTCTACTGTAACTTTGCAGCGAAAAGTGACGAGATGTGTAAGAAATAGTAAAATGAAAGACCAAGTTCATCTCTCCCAACCAAAAATTGGTGTCAATGTCATCCAATGCACAAAAAGAAACAAAGGACAAGAAAAGCTAGCAAAAAAAAAACACATAAATACCTCCACCATAGAATGGACTCGACGAGCTTTCCAATCAACAATCCCTCCAAATTTAGAGACAGCCGCTTTTACAGATTCAATAGGTGCCTTGGTTTCAATAAAGCCTCTACTCAAACCACCTTGCTTGAGATTTTTGAGTGAATGAACTTCCATTGCAATGTTATTGTCCTTAGCCTGTACCAGAACACATTCATCAACCAGAACCTTTTCAACATCATTGTTTGACAATTTAACATTAGAAGAGGAAACAGAAAGTACAGTGATTTCGTCGCGATCGTGAACAATAACTTCTGAACTTATTGAAGGCGTATTCTTAGTAGGAAAGAATTCAGGACTTTCAGAATATATTACTCCATTTGCAACCGGAGCAGAATATATAACTCCATTAGCAACAGGACCTGGTGGAGCTCCACCTTCAAAATCTAGCTTTCCATTACAAAGAATGACTGTGGGAGCTTCACTTTCAGATCCTGTCATGTTTTAATCCGTAGTCTTCGTTGGAGTTACACGTTCAGTTGAATTGCCATCGTTGAACGTTGCAACTACATTCACCATTTGAAGAAATTAGAGAAGACAACCACAGACGCATGAGTATCAAAGTAAATCAGAAAAAATAATAATACTCGGAACCCAATGAAAATTAGCAACAAATCAACAAATTCTTCAAAATCCTTATAGAAACAAGCAAGCAAGTCGATAAAATTCTGATTCAAAATCCAGATAAGAGCCTCATTGGCTTATAGAATCAGAGCTGGAAGCCAAAACCAAAATATAAGCCAGGAAGCCGAGGTGAAAACTGAAAATTGATTTCTTACATACAGATTCCAATGCCAAAATCTTCAAATCAAACCATTTCAGTAATGAACGATTGGACCAGACTGCGATGTCATGTCGCTTGCCAAGATTGGTTTCATATAAACGACGAAACGAAATTGTTCTTCACTTTCAGCCATTAACCAAGCAAAATTTGGCAACATTCACAGTGCACAAGACGGAAGCAAAAAAAAAAAAAATATATATATATATATATATCGCAATTCCAGAAACGTACTAAAATTAATGGACAACAAATACTAAACAAGATGAAATTCCGATAATCCCAGAAAGCGGTCTCCAATGGATATATTACTCCGCATTGGCCATAATGCATCTCTAACTAGATCTCTGAATGCATAGTTTAACAATGAGATTGTAATTCGGCAGGAAAAAAGGTTGGAAGAATTCTTAAGCGAATACAAAAAAAGAAACAAGAGAGACAGAGAGAGGGAGAAGCGTACCAGAGGAAATAACGAACTGAAAATGAATCCCCGAGAACGGGGACGGGAGATTTAAGGATAAAAAATAAAATTAAAAACGAAAATGAGGTGGAAAATTGGCGCTAAGAATAGAAAAAAGAAATGGGAGGCGGAGGGCGCGTGGATGCTCCGCCTCCACCTCTTCCTTCTTCCCATGGACATCATCCATTAGAGTCTCTCAGCCCCTCCCCATTTATTTATTTTATCTTTTCATTTTTATATTTTTAGTCTCAAATTTATTATCTTTTCTTATCCTTTTCATTATAACTTACTCAATACTTTCATTATCGGTGAGAAATAGTATAAATTAAATGCAAAAAATGGTCACAAATTATCCCTTTGAGTTAGACCAGAGAGCCAACGAGGTTGTATTTAGTTGTATATTCAAATTATCCAAATTCTGTTAATAACAACCATTTCCTATTTTTATTTATCTACCAAACGTTGGATATGATTTTGCATTAGAGTTTTTCTTCTTTTATTTGTGAAGATATCTAGTTTGAAGATTTCAAATTTGTTTTTGTTTCCACCCATAAACATATAATACTATTGAAGGTGGTGTTAAAAAAAATTATATATCATAAATCTCTTTGCATCTTCTAACTAATTAATGAATTGCAACTCCGGTGCAATGTAATTTTAGTTAATTTAAATAAATATTACTCAAGAGACTTTTTAACCAACTCAAACATAATTTAATCGGTTAAGTCATATTTTTTCAAGGTGGTGAGTTCAATCTCCAACCCATAGTTACTAAATTAAAAAAATAATAATTTTAGACTTATTTAACTCAATCTAACAAAAACGACTCAAGAAAAATTCACATTTTTAGAACATGAACATGTAGTCAATTTTTACCATAAAGTTTTAATGGCATAAAATTGGTTTTCCTTTTCTAGTACAATGCATAAAATTAGATTTTAGACTTAAAAGATAAAAAAAATTTTGGTTAAACTATAAATTTGGTCCTTATTGTTGGGCAAAATTTGAACTAGGCACATATAGTTTTAGAAGTTTAAAAAAAAAAATTAAAGTTTCACTTTAGTTTTCAAGCATGGTCTTTTCCTTTATGGACTTAGTTTCAATTTGATCCCTATAGTTTTAAAAGTCTCAAGTTTAGTTAGTTTCATTTAAGTCACAATTGTTTGGTTAAATCTCATAAGTCATTTTGAAATTGTATTTTACCATCTTAAAGAAATAGGATCTACCCATTTTCTTTTATTTTTTATTAAGTTCTAAATTTTAATAAACTCGGCTAACATATATAATAATCCAAATAGAAAATTGCTACGTGACAAAAGTTATTGAGGAACAATTTGAAAAGCTTGACTAAACCATAAATATCAAATCAAAACTTTGGAAACTATAGAAACTAAATTCAAACTTTTAAAATTATAGGGACTAAATTCTGACCTTTAAAACTATAAGAGCCAAATTCAAACTTTATGTAAATTATAAGGACCAAATTATAACTTAACCTTTTATCTTCCATATTCATTCTAAGAATTATCTAAACAAAAATATATATTCTCACACGTGTGTTAAATATGTATTATAAAACAAAACCATCCTTGAGATTGAGGAGGTCAGAAATTTTGTTGACATTAGTGAAACTAATGAGCTCTCAGAGTTCTTTAATTCAGCTCATTTTGGTTGAAATAAAAAGTTTAGGACAAAAATCAAAGAATCGTTTAGAAAATTTGAAAATTTCCCCAATGTGATTTTTTTTCCAGAAGAATCCTAGAAAGAAAATGGGATCGAATTATTCAAAATGTGTGACATAGTCTAAAGACGTGTAAAATCACATCTTCCTGACTGAACCATTCACAAACATATAATTTACAAGAGAGAGAGAGGAAAAAAAAAACCATCAACAAAAAACATACAAATAAAAGAGAAAAAAGAGAGAATTAAAATTGGGTAATTCTAGCGATCAAGCAAATTAATCCTTCTAGGATCCGTGATGGTGATGTTCCAATGGCGATCCTGAAACCCAATTTTAGCGGCGATCTTGGCGTCCCAATCCAGCTCGATTCTCCTCCTCTTGGTCAAGCCACAGAGCCTCTGCAAGCTCTGGTCCATGGCGTCGTGCAGCTTCCACCACCGCCGGTGCGCCACATCGCTCGCATAAACCCGCTGGTCGTCTATGTTCCAGTTGCAGTCGTAGTCCCTGTAGCACAGCCATGGCTTCAACCCCAAGTAGTGTATGGCGTACACCTTCGCCGGCTCCGCTCCGAACATCTCGTTCTTCACACTCCTCTCCACCGTCGTGTTCGACCAGAAGTTCTTCAAGAAGTTCGCCCGTCGTGGCAGCCGGTGCCACCACACGAACACCTCGTTTAGAAACCCTGTTACCGAACAAAATTCGAGCTTGTTGGAATCTGATGTCACCTCAATATTCTTAAGTCCCATTTCCAACCCAATTCGCAATAAAATGAATAGTCTATATATTTTATCAAATCTCTATTAGGTCAGTTGATATTTTCTTTCGATGTGAGATATAAGTAAATCTAACCTTGGTCGCCACCGTTGTAGGATACAATCTCGTTGCGGTGGTCCATGAAGATTTGAAAGGTACAATTGGAGGGCTCGATGAGCATGATGCCGGAGTTGAAGATGGAGTTGTCGTTTCCAGTGGCTGACATCTGGGGGAAGTGGAAGAGGAGGTCGAGGTTGCGGAGGACGATGATGTCGGAGTCGATGAAGATGATCTTGTCGTAGTCGGTGAGCTGCCATAGCCGAAACTTGCTATAATTGTATTCGTTGTATGAGTCCTTCTCCGCCCGTGGGTTTCGAATTCGAGTTATGATTCGGATGGTCCACCCAGCAGCGACTAGGGCAGTGCGTTTGGACATTGAGATGGATTCATCCATGAGGAGGACAAGGTCTCGTTTTGTTCCCGTCTGGAGGAGGCTTTGGGCCAACGTTATGGCACCGCACACGTATGCTTCTGAGGAGTGGATCACTGTCGCATACGCTTCTCGTTTTATAATCTTTGTTGACTTTTTGATTTTTGAAAGATCATACACTTTGTTAACTCCTGCTGTAATATAGATATGATATATTTGTTAATATCCACTTCAACTTTACTAGTTTACTAAATTTTTTAAACCAATCATAATTTATAGTTACTATCTATACCTAGTTTTTTCTCTCTAGTTGGGACTTCTTAAGGAGTTTTTCTAAGAATTGTGCAGTATTACAATTCTAACCCAATGACCAGGAAAAATTTACAATTTACTTTGAAAACTACATATGTCCTATTTAGGTAGTTGATATTATTTTGAATTTGACGTAAAACACAAATCATTCCCATGGGGACCTCGTGAAAAAGCAATCTCAACTCTCAACCAAAACTCAACCAACACTGATCATATCGAAACGTAGTAACCAAGCAATCATCTTCCTCTCCACCCCCCATGAAAAAAGATCCAATTTTTCTCACCTCTAAATTCAAAAGTTATATTCAATAAATTCAAAATTTTTATTTCCTTTTTGCATGTTCCATAGTTCATACCTCGATCCCAGATGGGCATGGCCAATTGGCAAGACCCAATCGGCAAAGAAACCTTCTGCTCCAACCGGCTCATCTCCGGCTCATAAAACCACCAGTCTCCCTCCCGGCTGACCAAGTCGTCGCACCGGAACAGCTCGATCATCGGTCGGCATTTGCTCAGAAACACCACCTTCGTCCGCGAAAACCAGTCTCTCTTCCCTCTTCTCGCCGCCATGTTTGCCGCTATCAAATGCACTTGTAATCGAAACACCTCCCTCCCCCACCCCTCCTCAGGGAACCGACACGGCAGCTTCGCCACCACCACATCCACATTTGGGTAACTCCGATAATCCGGCATTGGTATCTCTGGACACGACGCACCGTCGATGTCTTCCTCCTCGTCAACCCACTCTGGAAACAAATCCTTCCATTCAAAGTACTCCGACACCTTCAAAAAAAAAATTCAAATAAAAGGATTAAATATACCATAACCTATCAACCTCGAAGTTGAGATTAAATATAACATACCTTCTCAAAACCAATACGTATGATGTCAAAACTCGACTCCCATTCACTAACATCTTCTTCGTCGAAATTCACCATCCCAATCTTAGTCAATTTTCCCATCTTCTTCAAAAGCTTCATCGGTATCTCCAATTGGCTCACATTCCCCTTCACCTTCAAAGGAAGACGCGGCTCTGTCTCCTCCAAAACCGCCTTCATCTGAGAGAAAAAAAATAAAACCCAATTCATTAAAAAGAAAAACACTCAGTTAAAAAAAAAAGAAAAAAAAAAACTACCGGAGTTTAGCTCACCTAACCTTGGGATGGCACTCTCGGAGGGAGCAGGAAACAAACGACGCCGCATTGAGAGGATACGCGGCGGAGGAGGGGCGGCGGAGGAGGAGGGCGGCGTAGACGAGCAAGAAGAAGGCGATGAAGAGGAGGTTGATTCTGATAATTAAAGCTTTAGCCTTCAACATTCTCTGAAGACCACTGAATAATCCTTCCACCATGTTTTTAATTAATTGGTTTTGGAGTGAAGGAAAAAAAAAACTGGGGATATATACGGGACTCAACTGGGTTTGTGTAATTATTTGGAGATGGTTAAGAAATTGGATTATTGTGATAAGAGTTGGAGGAAAAATAAAGGGGAGGGGAGATTAATTGAGATTTAACGTAGTGGTTAGAGAAGTTAAGAGAGCGAAATTAGAGTAGAGTAAAGATTAAAGAAAGTCGGACCACTGGGATAGCTCCACGTGTCCCTTCCTTGGTTTTGGATTTCCGTTTTCTTTTGAACAAGCATGAACATTAAGGAAAGGAAGGGATAAGTTGAGGGTTTGCTTTGCCCTGTTGCCTGTAGGTAGTGAGGGTTGTATAATAGAAATATTGTCCATATATTGGTATTTGGTATTGGGTAGACTCAATTCTCAATTTCCCAATCTGACCTCCCTTAACTCGTTTTGGCTTTACTTTTATCTGCAACAAAGGCCTCGTTTTATTATTAGGAATCGTAGTGATAAAAGAATCATTATAAGATCAATCGAAAATGGAAAATTTATTTGTTTGATGTTGTTGTGGAATCAAAATTAGAAATCAGCCGTGTAAAACAATTACTAGAATATCATTTTCTTATTTTTGTTCAAGTATTATTTTTAATAATGTTGGAGGCGATTCTCACCATATACGTGGCACATGTCAATTGGGTGATGAGTTACACGTGGATTTTGTTAATAAGTTTGAAGTTTCTTTACTTTGGTTTCCTTTCATACGACTGAGCGGACGTCTTGTGTGACCTGACCAAGCGTCATATGGGTCTGTTCCCAACTATTCGAATGAACTGATCAACATCACTTCGGTTCAGCCCTAGACTCCACGACAATACGTCGTGATTCACGGTAACCTTAAAGAGCCGTTGAGGCACTGTCGAAAATATTGTCAGGAAGCTCGCCTATAAATAGACTCATTTGCTCAATTTTTAGGTATGCGAATACTAATATTGAGCATTAGAGTGTGTTCTGTTTTGCATGTCACCCGTCCAACTCATCCTTTGAGTAGTTCTCAGTCCCAATCGAGCTTCCCGGAGTTTGTCATTTTTCTAATCAAACAAATAAAAACAACAATAAATTTTCATCTATTTACGCTAAGAAATGAAATTTATGATCGAATGATCAACTAATGCAAATGAAGTGAAATTTTTCTTCTGGTCGGAAGTTCAAACTCCTATCTCATATTTGTTTGTACTAAAAACGGGGCAATTACAAATATGACAAAAATATTTAGTAAAATTAGCAAATTAATAAGCACATTTTGTTTTTTTTCAAATATAGTACTTAAAAACCAGAGGTCCAATTTTAATATATATATATATATGTGTGTGTAATAATATATATGTAATATATCTAGCTACAGATATATGTATTTGATATAGATTTGATATACTACTTGAGTGTCTAATATATATATGAGTGTCTGTACAATATGTATGTGATATATATCTATTATATTATTAATATGAGTATTTGATATACTACTGAGATGGGTGGAAATTTGAACTATATTTAAAAATTTTAAAAAATAGATAGACATATTTTGAAATACATAAATGATATTTGTTGCCACTAATATTTTCCTAAAAAAATTAAGTCGATTAACATTATCTAAGCGAATCATCAATCATATAATAATCAACCATTTTATATAAAACTAAAATGTACTTTCTTTTACAACAATAAAAATGTAATAATTGTTTAAAAGATATAATAAATATGTAATAATTACCAATTAATTATCAAAGCCAATCGATTAAATAATTTCAGATAAATATTGTATTTGCAATTAATTTCTAAATAATTAATGTCAATTATTGTAATAATCAGCTGGAATTTTATCAGAAATGGTGGCAATCGACTAGTTTAGCAGCCGAGTCAGGGGTAGAATTGTAAAATGGAGTCCACGTGGACGGGTGGGCGAAAAAGGACCAGAAGGCGCGCCAACAAGAAGTTGGTTGCGCAGTCGGGTTCATGCATGCAGTGAAATGTCGCTTTTATCCGTTAGCAAATCGCAAGTCTCCACCAATTCCGAAATTTCCCTAATTTTCTATTCTTTTCCTTTTTTTGTGCTTAAAATTTTCCAGTTCGCAAATTCGTCGTCGTTTTAGTGGAAAGGGTTTGCTTCCACTTTTGGTTGAATATATCAGTCTAAAAACGACGCCGTAAAAGTAGCCACCAAACCAACTTTCACAAATGTTTAACACGACTTATAATAACTTTATGGAATCCTTTTCAAAAAAAAAAAGAGGAAAAAAAATACTTTATGGGATCGAATCGAACCGCGTTTTCAGTTATGGTGAACCATCACATTACACAATTATTGGCCCCTAAAAAAAAACTCCACATTAAAAAATTAAAAAAAACCAAAAAAGGGGAAAACCAAACATTTTTAATAATTTCTTAAATTAAATGTTAGTGATAATCTTTTTCTTCTCTTTTTTTTTAGGAATCATAAGCTTCTATTTTAATATCAATTTATTTATGTATTTTCAAAACGTATCATTATTATTTTATTCTTTAAATTCTTTTAGTACAATATGGGAATGTAGAAATTCAAATTCACGATTTTTTTGGTTCGGAAATAGGTGCTTTAACCAGTTGAATTAAGTTGAAGTTGACATTTTTTTTTATTAAATCTTTGATTAAAGCTTACTAAAATTATCTTTTCATTCGGTAAAAGGTAACAAAAATCCAACTTATAATAAATTATCTGTAATAAATGAGTTTTATGTTGAAATATTAACCCTCATGTCAATTCATTAGTCCAAAAGAATCAAGGTAAATTTCTAAGAAGGTAAAGGGAATGAGTTCAAATTTTGGCGGCCACTTACCTTACCTAGGATTTAGATCCTATGAATTTCTTTGACAATCAGTAGTATGGCTAAGTGGTTGTCTCATGAGATTAATAAAGATAAGGGACCTAATAATCTGTTATTGTCAATTAATTTTGAGATGATTGAAAACGTTCCATAAAATATTGTAATTAATTTTTACCAGAAGGATGGAATGTGATCAGCACAAATATGATTGACAAAGAGATAATAGGGAGCACATATTCTACCTATGGGCTATTGGCTTAGGGGATATGATCAACATAGTGATGATCCACGGGAGATTATGGAGTTGCTTTTTCTTTTTTTCTTTTTTTTTTCTTCTTAATTATAAGTATCATCTCCATGGCTTTTGAGATGATCCGGTTTCAAAAAATTTTAATTTGATTTCTACATGGTTTGGTGATTTATGAATTGTCTCAATATATGTTGCGGTATTGAAATATTGACAATATATATATATTTTTTAAACTAATGAACTTGTGTTTTCTAATTTGATTGCTTAGTTACTTATATTAGAGAATATAAGTAATATATAGATGGAAATAAGAGTTAAGTTTTTAGTTAAAAAGAAAAAGAAAAAGAAAAAGATTAAAGATGGTTTATAAGGTCTATCAAACAATAAAAATCAAATTTAAACTTTTAGACCAAATTGAAATTAAATCCAAGTTATAGAGGTCAAATTTGTAATTTAACATTTTATTTTTTATTAAAATTATATGGATAACCTAATAATTAATGTATTTATAGCCAACATATATAAACGGGCACATGTCTGTGATAAAGAGGTCATAATTAAGTTTAGATCCTTTCACCTCACTTGTACAATAATCATACAAAATATTTTTAAAGTATTATTATTATTGTTAAAGCGAGCATAACTCAGCGGAAATTGATTTATATTTCTAATCAATAGATTGATAGTTTGATGATCATTATTCCACATGTTGTATTTAAAAAAAGTATTATTATTATTATTATTATTATTATTATTTATTTATTTTTGAGAGAGTTGCTTTCTCTCCGTATAAATATCCCACAAATAAGCATACAAAACCCATCTCATAGTAATTTTCGCCTTCTTTGTTCTTTGTCCTCCTCCTCAGCTCACGAGAAACCCAAACCGCCATGGGAAATTTGAAGGGCAGTACAAAAAGTTATAAACGAGTTCTGGTTCCCTACTCGGAGGAGCAACTCGCCGGCGTTTTCAGGAACCACGACAAGGACGGAGATGGGAAGCTCACCAAGGAGGATCTGAAGCAAGCCTTCCACTATCTAGGTTCCAATTTCAGTGCCTTCCGAGCCCACCAAGCCCTACGCGCCGCCGACAGCGACGGCGACGGCGTCATCACCATGGAGGAGCTTGATAAGCTTATTCACTATGCCAAACGTCATAATTACACTATTTGCTAAAAACCATATTATTATTGTTAATTATTATATGCCAGACTTGTATTACCTATGACACGTTCAATAAATCCATAAACCTTTGAGAGTCACACCCTCATATCTGCTTCATCTACTTTATTTTGTAATTAATTATAACATGCCCACTAAATTTCTTTATTGGAGCGCTCTCAATTTCATACCAGTCTTGTCAATAATATTAAACAAAAAAAAAAAAGAAAAAAAGAAGGGGATTCTCTACTTTAGTTGAGGTAGGGAAGCTCTATTTAACTTCTACAATTACAACATCACTCACTTTTACAAACTAATGGCTAGCTAAACTTCTCAGGTGTTTATTTACTTTATGCCAGATAATCAAATAATATATTTTGATATTTCCAACTACTACCTAGCTATAACTCATTTATATAATATAATTATTATTTTTTTAATGTGCTTTACAATATCAAATTTGTTCAATGAATTTAATATACATAAATTTAACCTAATTTAGATAAATGTGTATTACAATATCAAATTTGTGCAATGAATTCAATATATAGAAATGTAACCTAATTGAAATAAAATATTGGAAAATAAGAGCTGAAAAATAATTATAAATCTCTAATATATTAAAAAAGAAAAGGTTGGAAAAATATTTTTAGACTATTATACGATTTCTTTAATTTATAAATTTTCAAAGTACGTCTTAGAAAATTAAGGATAAATAGTAAATAAATTACTCATAACAAATAAATAATTAATTATCAACTAACATACATGAAATGTAAAAAGTTGTGAATCCAAAAATGGTCGTTATTGACATTACCTGCTAATAATAATAATAACCA